TCTATTTGACTCAAGGGGCAGATGTTGAGAAATCTAGCAGCTATAAGTTTGCAGCAGGTGTGTGGCTTGCTGCTTCATTAGATTTTAACACAAATTTTATGTCTCAGTTTATGTAAGAGTATGTTGATTAGCTGTGTTTTGGTAACTGAATGGATAGAGAACTGTTCATCCACATAATCAAATCTGTTTGTAAAACAGTGAGCTGTTTTAACAGACTCATGCATACCAATAAAAACAAAGATCACTATAATTTAAAGACCCACCCTCAGCCCTTTTCATGATAGGGAGATGATTGCATATCCATTGTGGACAGCTATGGCTGAGGGAAAAAATAATAAATCAATGGGCCCAGGAATCTCTGTAAGTTATATTCATAAATGTTAAAATGTTACTGAATTTTTAAGGCCAAGCAGATAGGAAATAAATCAAACAAGAGATGCTTTAACACTTTAAAATCCTTCTGTAACTTTAGCAAGTATTATTTTAGCAAAAAGCTTTGATTTAACCTTAAAGCTGAGAAATGTAAGTCAATAAATTACTATAATTTTTGGTTTGCTTTCTCTACTTTTTAACATCAAACATTGTACTCAAACTTAATCAACAATTGAAAGCAAAAAAAGTATTGAAGGGTTATGAAATAGTATCTGTGGAAGAATGCATCCTATATCCTGATTTACAGTATTCTGTTCTGAAATTTTTACAATTTTTATTCCAATAAACAATATGCCCCATAAATTTATCATTTCATTTACATTCTGACTTTATTGTTACATTGCTTCTCGGCCTTTTGACAAACATCAAGTGAAGTATACAACTTTATGTCACTGCCTTTATTATCCCATACACTATAATTTAATTTTTCAACCAACATGACCTATCTTACAAGTTGAGGATCCCTCACTGAAATGCCTGGGGTCAGAATTATTTCAGAATTTGGTTTTTTGTTAATATTTTCATATGCATAATGAGATCTTGGGATGAGATCTGAACAAAAATTTAATTTATGTTTCATATACAATACAGTCTGAAGGCAATTTTACATGATATTTTTAGTACACCTGTGTTTTGACTGTGACGTCTCACAAAACATCAGATATGGAATTCCCACTTGTGGTGCTATATAGGTACTCAAAAAGTTCAAGATTTTGTATTTTGGGTTTCAAAATACAGATGCTTAAATTCCACCTGTTCTCCCACTGCAGGCCATTTGTCCATACATGTGTATCTGCCTCTCTCCCACCCTCTCTTCCCATAGAAAGTCTACTCACTCCACCAGGTCCAGTCTAATGATATTCTTTCTTTAATTTTACCTCTCAGTCAGAATCTCTTTCTTGTTCTTCTAACTTGTTTACAACTTCATGAGCCTGAATTGCTCATCAATCTATCCCCATTGCACACAAAACTATACCTTGCTCATGAAAGAAGAACATTTATTTTAAACCAGTTCAATTTAATGAATGAATGAATATATCTGAAACTACTCAAACTATCAAATGACTAGTGCAGTCTCATTTGGAATACAAAATTAAAAATACAGTAACAAGCATTAAAGATATTTGGGGTTAAAAGATATTAACAATTTTTTCTTGTTTGTCTGCAGAAAACTGTTCTTGCATACTTTGTCAGTACACCACCTTTGACAATTACTACACAAGTTAATCAAATGTATGAGTTGGGAATCTAGTTGCAATTTTTATTTGTTCTAATTAGTTGTATGCATGATAGTAGAATGTATTTTGACATATTTTACATGTCAAAATGACAGTATAACTTCTCATTCTTCTGCTTGTACATGATGTAGAATTATTGGTTGTATAATCATATATGCACATTGGATAGCAATGTCCAATTCATTATACTATCTTTCCTATTCCCCTTCCCCCTTCTCTTCACTCCTCTTCATCTAAACTACTTCTAATCTCCCCTACCCACTCCCTTATTTTGAAATTAGCATCTGCATATCAGAGAAAACATAAAGTATTTGGGGGGGAATGGCTTATTTTGCTTAGTATGATCCTCTCCAGTTCCATCCATTTACCAGCAAAAGTACCATAATTTCATTCCTTTTTATGGCTGATTAATATTCCATTGTGTATATATACTACAGTTTCTTTATTCCTTCATCTGTTGAAGGGCACAGATTTGTTCTATAGTTTAGCTATTGTGAATTAAGCTGTTATAAACATTGATGTGGCTGCATCACTGTAGTATGCTGATTCTAAGTTCCTTGGATATAAACTGAGGAGTGGGATAACTGGGTCAAATGGTGGATCCATTCCAAGTTTTCTGAGGAATCCCCAAGCTGCTTTCCATAGTGGTTGCACTAATTTTCAGTCCAATCAGCAATGTCTGAGTGTACCTTTTCCCCCACATCTTCACCAAAATTTATTATTGCTTGAAATTCTTGATAATTGCCATTCTAACTAAAGTGAGATAAAATCTTAGTGCATTTATCTATGTGTCAGGACAATGACTAATCCATTCTTTTATCAGTCAGGTACTAAGAAAGCAGAGGTATAATTGTAGAGGCAAGAACAGGAACCATTAAGAATGAAACTCCAGGGAAAACCCAGTTGGAAGCAGATAACGCATCCTTCCCAGAGGCTTTATATAACTGATCCACAGCTAAAGACCAGTTGGCCTCCCCAGCTGGATGGGCCCTTTGCTGGCATGGACCCTTCGATGCAATTTTTATAGAGCTGGCTCAAGTTTCACAGAAGCTGACATGTTTTGTATTAAACTTGGTTTGAACCTTATATATGGAGTTCATTCTACTAGGAATGGCCAGGAGCAGAGCTAACTGCAAGCTCTCTGGGGGATAAATTATCCTATGCTGTCATGGGCTCTCCACTTCTGCTGCTGCAGAGCTGACTTTAAAGATAGAGCTGGGGACAGCACATCTTTGTGAATATAGTTGATGACTTTGAATAATACAATTTAAAAATGATTACAAAGAACAGATTGCAAAAATGATTACCCCATCCTGTCCATGTACTTGAATACAAGTAAATGACTTACGCTTTTTTTGAAGTCATATTTTGGTTATGAAATGGTAGTTCTTGAGTCTTCCCACTTGAAACAGCTTAAGGTCTGACTTTACCTAAATGGAATATGCAAAAACATTCAGCATCTCTAACAATAAGGGAAATGCAAATCAAAATTGCATTGAGATTTCATCTCACCCCAGTCAGAATAGCAATTATCAAGAAAGCAAATAACAATAAATGTTGGTGAAGATGTGGGGAAAAGTTACACTTGTACAACATTTGTAGGACTGTAAATTAGTACAACCATTCTGGAAAGCAGCTTGGATATTCTTAAAAAAAATGGAACCCCCATATGACCCAGCTATTCCATTTCTTGGTATTTTTCTAAAAGAACTAAAACCATCATAGTACTGTGATACAGCCTAAAAACTTCASTGTTTATAGGAGCACAATTCACAATAGCCAATATGTAACCAGCCCAGATGCCCATCAATAGGTGAAAGAAATTGTAGTATAAATCAACAATGGAGTTTTACTCAGTCATAAAGAATGAAATTACTGTATTTTCTAGTAAATGGATGGAACCAGAGGACATGATGCTAAGTGAAATAAGCCAGACCCAGAGAGTCAAGGGAAGAGTGTTTTCTCTCATATATAAAAGTTAAACTGAAATAAGAAAAAAAAAATGAGGGTTGGGGTATTCCATGAAAATAAAAGAGAGATCAGTGGATTAGAGAAAAAGAGGAAGGGGATTGGCCAGAAGGGATGAGGGGACAGGAAAAGGAAAGAATGGTGAAATGAATCTGATCAAATTTATATATATATAGTATATATGAATATACTACAGTGAATTTCACCTTTTTTTGAGAGAGAGAGAGAGAGAGAGAGAGAGAATTTTTAATATTTATTTTTTAGTTTTTGGCGGACACAACATCTTTGTTGGTATGTGGTGCTGAGGATCGAACCCGGGCCGCACACATGCCAGGCGAGCGCGCTACCGCTTGAGCCACATCCCCAGCCCTGAATTTCACCTCTATGTATATCCATAATGCACTAATTTTAAAAACTATATAAATAGGACAAATCAGTAGAGTAGAGAAAAGGGAACAGAAGGAGGAAGGAAGGAAGGAAAAAGGAGGTACTGGAGATTAAAATTGGAGCAAATTATATTATGCTCCATTAAATTATGTCAAAATGAAGCCAATATTATATATATATACATAAAATAATTTTTAAAAAGTACCAAAAAAAAAACCAAACAACAACAAATACCCCCACAAAAGGAAATAAAGTTGTGTTAAGTCTCAGAAAAAAGAAAGTACTTGGGAGGCAATATAGAACACCCTCTCATTTCTGTAAATGGTGCAGCCCTCCACACTATCCAAGACACTCCTACACAGGAGAGAGAAAGAGGAGAGAGAGAGCCCTAAATTGCTGTGAAAAACAGTGAGATGGAACTTTCTATGCTCCCTTTTATGCTTTTCTCTTCATGTAAGAACAGAATGACTTTGCTAAGAATTGACATTTTGCAGTGCCTTCTTCAAGCACAGAGACAGTAGAGATTTTTAAAAATGTACACTTAATAATCCTTTTCCTTATGCTTGGTACTTTGAAAAGGACTTTTAAATAGACTCCAAGATTATTCAAAGGGACTCCAAGATAATTCCAAGTCTTGAGGGTTTTCATCTTCACCTCTAAATATTAATATACATTATATAATAAATCTTCTTCCATACTTTTCCTTGACAAAATAATTCATAGTGCTAGCTCTAAGGCACAGACTCCCATGCCTCAAGTCCTGAAGCAATACTTGTTTTGATTTATGGTATTTTTGTCTATATAAATTCTTCCCAAGAGAACTGTCCAGGAAATTTAGCTACCTATTTTCAAGGATAACACTCTTTATTAATACAGACTTTTCTTCTGTGTATTCACTTTCTCATCCTGACCCTCAGTGTGTTGGACCTTCTTTCTCACCAGAGTATAATTGATGTTATCTTTTCTGTTCCTCAGTCACCTCAGAAGACGGACGTTCTTTGGATTTTGGCTTTCGAGTGGATACTGAAGAAAAAGGTTTCTACACAGAGAATTTTCATTCAGCAGCGTGGGTTTTCCGAGGCGACGATGGGAATCCTGAAGACAGTCCTAGATGTCTTAGTAAAAAACCACGACCAGTAGCTGGTAAGAATCTATAATCATAGCAAGATGGGTGAGCCTTATAGAACCTGTAGCTAGACTCCAGGTAAATCTCTGCAGTCACCAAACTGGAAAACTGAGGGGAGAGTTTGGTGAACAAAAGAATGTATCATACACAACACATTTCTTAATATTGGGTTTTCTAAAACTGTCTTAAAAGCTTATTCAAACAGGAAAGTAATTCTACAGTTGGAATAAAGATCAATATACTCAGAATAAAGAGTTTATTTTTATCCTTGCTTAAAAAGTACTTATTAATTTAAAAATATCTACTAAAAAGTATAAAGAAGTGATAAATTGTCACTTCTTATTCCAACTCCTCTAGATAACTGTTTTATTGTTTCTACATTTTTTATTATACATTCTTGTGGCCCTGTTCTTAAAAATACATGAAATACACATCTGATACTACTATCATGTATTTATTTTTATTTTGAAACATATCTTACAGCCTGCTTTTTACATTTGATAATGAGTATTTAATAATTATACCTTTAATTGATAATGTAAGCATTTTAATTTTTGAAGACTTCATTCATATTAATGTTCCATGATATTTTGATATAAATTTTAGTAAATTAAAAATTAATAACTGTATATATTTCTCTATTGCAATAATAGCTTGTGATTTAAAAAAAAAAAAAACAACTTACACCTGAATTACAATTTTCAATATTCAGGGTGCAGATCTTCTGTGAGTTTCTATTTTGTTGTTACAAATAACCTTGATGAATAAACAACTGGACAAAAGCAAAGATCCAGGCAAAAAGAATATTTTAAATTAATTTTACAATAACATATTTAATAAACATCATGCCTACTATGGTCAAGGCCCTGGGAGGAGTTGTCAAAGATACATAGAGAGAAATGACAGGTTTTAGAGTATCACAAATTCTACAAAATGGCACATACTTCATTCAGTACAGGCATCATCATGTGCTCAGTTTCATCTTACCTCCAATTATACAGATAAGATGTAATACATGGACATATGTATATATTATGTATAATGTCATTTGTCTTACCTGTAGAGTAAAATAGAGCCTTTCTTGGTTTTCTTCTTATAAATACTATGAAATTTAGCAATGGAGAGTTTTAATGAGGAAAAGTTGTATATCTAAATGAGTTCTCATATACATGCCTAAGAGAATACAAGGTTTGTCATTTGCATATTTAGAATATTTACTTACATTCATATCAAATCATGAACAATTTATGCTTAGCCACTCACTGAAAAGTAAACATGAGACTCTAAATCCAAAAGTATTCAGAGTGGAGTTTGTGAAAATCAAGAGAGGGGTTGAGGCATAAAGTTGCAGTTAAGTGAGATGAACGGATTGCACATCTAAAAATTTGAGAGGGGAAATCTAATGTTAAGTGTTCTTACCTGAATAAAATAAGATTATTAAAAATTAAATAAATCAGAACAAACACAATAATAACCAAAGGTGGATGATGGGGATCTAAGAGTAGCCTTAAAAAAAAGTGAATTTTCTTTATCTTTTATTTGAGTTAAATATAGGGAAAGAACACTAACTGAAGGTCAGATCTTCAGGTCAGGACCTCTATTTGTTTGTTCATTGGTATAGGCCAAGGTCCCAGAACAGTACCTGCTTCATCATGGGAAACCAATGTGCATTTGTAAAATAAATAATTAAAAATACTATAAGTACAATACAATAAGTACTATTGAATAATTATCACCTATGTGATCTTGGAAAAAATATTATCCTTCTGCTTATCTCAGCATTATAAAAATATAAGATAAAGTTATATATGTGAAAATTATAATGGGCTCTTTCTATTTATTTTAGCTATTTCCATCTCCCCCTTTAATTTCTTTTAATTTTATGACAAGTATAGTTCAATGACAACTATAAATATATATGTATTCACATACATGTTTATGCATATTCACATACATTTATATGTAAAATATACATAATTTATGTTGTATTACAAATTCAGTAAATTATCAAATATTTATTAAATATTTGTTTGTGGCAGAAACCAAAGAACATAAAGAGGAGGAAGATATAACTCCTACCCTCATAGTATTTTAGCTAAAACCTGATGTATAATGCATATAAAAAGTACAATTATTGTAATTTCTACTATTGTTCGTATCTATCAAAGAACAGCATTTTACTTAATTTGGTATCATTTGCTTTGGTAAAAGAAAACAAATGGGACTGATTTTTTAGTGTGAGCATATAAATATATTGGTACACATGCATATATGCATACATATGTATATATGTGTCTCTGTGTATGTACAAAAATATATTTAAATTTTGCAAGTGAGCTCATGATACAATTTATTGGACTGAACCTCAGTTCAAGAATATCCTTGTTATCTTTTCTTATTATTACTAATACTTCAAGTGTTACATGTGTCAGAGACCTATGTTCATAACTATGTGGTACCGAGAGACCAATAAAAGAAGATGGAAATTAAGAAGAAAAATGAGTTGAGGGCAAATAGATAATTTTTGAACTGAAAATATCCTCATTAACCAATAAAATTTTAAGCATATTACAATATTAATTTATATCTACCAAAATGAATTTCATGAAATAAAATTTATAATTTAAAAATAAATAACCCTATCCTAAATTTCCTGAAAGAATTCTTTTGAGTTGAATAAATAGACAAAGACCATATCACTATGTGAAAATTTTAGGGTGTGTTTAGTATACCAGTTTTGCTATATTTGTGGAAATATTTGCCCTTTGTTTGAATTTTTACATCTAGCAATATGATTCTAAGGAGATATTATCTGGGGGGATAAATTATTGATGATGTGCCAAACAGTCTCTGAAACAACAATAATATTCATTTGTGGCTTTTCTGCAGTTGTGCAGGACTTGTAGATTTTCTACTAGACAGTGACAAGGGAAACCAGGACTATTCATTTTAAAATATGAGAAAATTGTCTTCTGAATGGGAGGAGAACATGTTACAAAACATTTTGATTGTCTCTTCTCCCACAGGAGAGCTCTACAGTTCACCATTTCAAGATTTTATTGAATTGTTTATTTTTTCATACACATTGTTGACATTCAATTTGCCTGATTGAAAAACTGAAAAGAAAGAAACACAACCTTGAAAGCAATAGCTAGCTTAACAGTCTCATGCCATACGAAAGTAAAATAACAAACATAATTTGATTTGAATCAACACAGTAAAAATACTCCATTAAACAAATATCTGTTGGGTAATCAATCTGTCAAAAGCACAAGATAGTATCAAGAGAGTAACCCAGAGGAAGCAAGAAGTCTTGACAAGTAGAGATATTAGAAATGATTTCTACAGGGGTCAGAAATAGGATTTCTGATTTTTTTTTACTTGATTAGCTACCAACCTGTTGCAGATTGCTGAAATATTAATTCCTAAGTCCTTGAATTTCCCAGTTCTGTTTCTTAAATTATACCAAGATCCAGTAAGTGGCAGTCCAAACAGTCGTACCAAAGAGAATTGTATTAACAAGTAATGGAGATTTCCCTAGAAGCATCCAACAGAGCAGAGCACAGAATTTTAGAGCTGGAATGCATTATTATCTTCTCAGCAACCTTGGTAGGYTTTTCCTGATTATAGTAAAATAAAACAACAACAACAACAAAAATGCATTTTCTTCGGACATTTTGTGAAAACTAACCTTCCTTCAGGAATTCACATGAAAAGACTCTATCATTTCTGTCTTTGAATGTTTGCCTCTTTTGGCTGCCAATGTCTGGCATAAACTCCATGAGAAAATCACCACTTGTCTGTCCTCACCACTACATTCTAATACATAGGGAAACACCAGAAATATAGTAGGTGCTCAGTAAATGCTTATTAATGAATGACTTCTGCTATCAAAGTGTGATGAATCTGGAAGAACAGATGCATGTTTCCTTGTTTTTATCAGATACTTATGTTATCTATCTAACCAAGGAAGTGGTCACATCTGAGCATGTATGGACAAATTGCTTAACCTTTTACTATATTTGTTATTTCTCATAGTAAACTTAATTTGAAAAATATTGATTTACCTCATAATATCTGAGAGAAAATTGAATAAGTTAAATGGCAAATCATCTTATAAACTGTGCCAAGTAATATAAATTTATAATACTAATATTTCTCCCAATGTCAAGGACATGCTCACCTAACTCTACCTGCCAGAGATGGTAAGAAAGAGATTCCACACCAATTGGGAGACTGAACTAAGGGCCTTCCCACTCTAAATAAATTGTTGTCCATCACTTTAAATTATCAAGAGTTCTTTTGGCCTCTTGAATGCTCTAAGTTCTGGCCATATTTCAGCTACATTTTTACTTTCTGTAATAGTCTTTGAATACAGACCTAAAAAAGAGACTATTCTGCACATTTCTCTCTGAGAAATGAAAAGTGACAAAAACATTTTTAAAAATTGACATAAGGCAGCAAACTGTATTATCCTTAAATTCTAATGTTTCCTATTTTTTTATGAAAGGAGACTCTTGAATTTTAGTTTAAATTTTAAGGTGTTAGGTTACCCTGACCTTATTAATAAATCACCTTTCTTATTTCATAATGAATTATCTGGCTTTCTCCAGGACCCCAGAATAGGCCTATTATTAATACTTCACTTTTGTAGCTCAGAGATTTATCATACTTTATTATTATTTACTTTCAGTTATTTTTAGTTATTCATTGACATAGAAAAATTGATATATATAAATCTAATTGTTCAAGGAAGATTAATGCTCTCAGTATTATTTTAGTACTTCTCTCTGGTGGACTTGACCATAAATAAAACAGAATACACATTATTTTGAAGTCTTTTGTTATATTTCTTTATTGGAGACCATTGTTAGCATTTAAAAATGAATCATCTGCAATTACGCAAGCCCTTCAGGTATCTTATTTCGTGTACTCTGAGATGATTCAGGTATATATTTTTTTTCCTAAATAAGAAATGAATTAATTGTATCATTAAAAGATTAAAATGCCTACCATGTTCACATCTCCCTCTATGGAAACTTTCCTTCCACAAAAGGAAGAGACGGTCTTGTGGCAGCATGTTTTCTGGCTTGGAATCATGCTGGATCCTTGCCTTTGAAAATTAACAACACAGAAGAATTCTGATCAGAAAGGATTTTTACCTGTGAGATTCCCTCCTACTGGAATTCAAAGTTGGAAAATGCTCTTGGTAGTGAACACGGAAGTTAAAATGTTTCAAGGTGGAGAAAACTCAAGAGGGCCCATGAATGGGCTGAAGTTATGAATAAGCCAAACTTATCACAAGGAGAAGCTGAGGAAGAAACATACACACATCTATATCTATGTACACAGAAAAGAGGGTATGAAGTCAGCAGAGAGAAGAACAAACAGAAGGAAAAGCAGATGAAGAAGTTGCTGGACTAGAGTAAAAAGCCATGGGCTGTTAGTGAAGTTCTTCCGACTCTCCACCTTCAATGAAGCACAAGCTAGGAGTTTCTCGTAGAAAGACCCAGTTATTCCTATATTATTCTGAAAAGCTCAGCTTTTTTTTTGGATTCTCCTAAGACTTAAATCTATGGGTGAAGATTCTTTTTTCTTATCTACATATATAACCTTACACTAAATATCTTATTTACAGATATAGATGACTTGGATCTTTAAGGCTCAGGTGCTTTGCAGGTAGCTGTCGCACAGTGGTTAACAGGGAAGGCTTGAGCATTGTACTGCTCTACCCCTTCCTCACTGGATGACTCAGGCAAATTGTTTAACCTCTCCGTGCCTCAGTTTCCTCTTCCCCCAAAATAAGAATAATAGGCTGTTGTATAAATTAAAGTGGATACTACTTATTTAGTATTGGTTAGAACATTTTTATTAGGTCTGGCATGTAATAAACAATGATAAATATTAGCTACTTTAATAATAATATAGTTAATTTATAATATCTAAAAATTAACTCAAAGCAATGCCCCTTTTGCTTTCTTTGTAGTTCGTGAGCGAACGGTGAGACTATTCAAGGGAACTGGAGATTATCCTTGGGGATTCCGAATTCAGTTCTCCAAACCAATCATGGTAACTGAAGTGGATACCAGTAAGTGGTCTCGTAATAAAAAGCTTTAATTCACTTCAGAACAACTATCTCAACCCTAGAAAAATACATAAAATAGCCTTCAATATCATAGTCATGTAAAGTCCACATACATAGTAAAAGCAACTTGAAAATCTCAGTTTACCAAAAATTCATGATTGAGAACTGTTCATATCATGATTGCATATTTTAAAAGACATGTATTCCTGATGGAATGTACCTTTCTGATTGACAGAGAGCATTACTTAGTCTTCCTACCAAAGAGCCCTTCTTGTTTCTACAGAAATAGGACTCAATTCTGGAGGTAAGAAGAATATTGACCATACATCTCTTGTCAGTATTTTATAGTTTCTGGGAGGAATTCTAGTACTCCTAAATTATTTTCTCTATGGCTTCCCAAGTGTCCAGAATTTTTAATTAGCATATTAAGAATTAGTAAATAATGTTACATTAGATTTTTCTACTTCCTGATTTGTAATTTGATAATAACCTGAGATGGATGATTTGAAAAAAAAATAAAAAGCAGATCCCAAACAATATCATTGGTAGAAGCATAAAATAAATGTTTCCATACTCAGCCTGGTGCATTAGGGGAGAAGCATGAGATTATCACAGAGGGAAACTCAGGGCCTCTAGAGAGTTTCTGAATTCCTTTATTATCAATTGTTTGTTTATCTATCTCCCCATCTGAACTCTGAGTTTTTGACCCCAAGGTCAAAAACTGCATTTCACCTATCATTTTATCCTCAATCTGGGGAAGCATCCAAAGGACAACAGAAGGGTGCTCCAATAACAGTGTTGAGTAACTGTGAGAGCCCTGGATACCAGAAGGCTGGAACAGTATGGAGGAGGGGAGACCAATACTTCAGGAAGACCCACCCTTCCTGCTTTGGCCACACACCCTAATCGCATTTCTGACCTCATTATCACTAGAGTCCCATTTCATTTCTCTCTGTCAGAGTTCCTCTGTTGTAGACTCTGTAGTTCTGTTGGAAACTGCCTTTCTTCTGTTGTAAAGACGTGAATGACTATTCAGCTCTGGTCAAAGTGACAGGGGTGACAGGTGCATCAGAGTAAATTGTTACCACCCAGCCCATCACACAGGCATAGCTGAGCAGGAAACAGTGTTCAGACCACCACCAATTTTTTTTTATCTTAATGGAATTTTTATCCAACTCTCAGGGTATGAGAGTAGAGTAGAATGTAAGATCTTTCAGGCCCATTAAGAAAATTAAAGTTCATCCTGAGGAAATTTCTTGCAGGTTATCACGCATCCCACGTGGTCAATAGCACACATTCTATGAAATGTAGAGTTTAGTCTCCTATAAGTATTATCTAAATACTAAGTAACCTGAACACCTATTTTAGATTCATTGATGTTACAAAAGAGAGACATTTACTTATTTATAATATCAAAGTATCGATCAGTTAATTTCACTTTAAGTGTAAAAGCCATGTTATGTCACAGAGGAAAAGAACTCACGTTCACTAGGGGTGCCTATTTTGAGCAGTATATTTGAGAGCATACATGCTCTTCCTGATAATGCATGTTTAACACAACTTTGAAATTGATGTTTTCACATCCATTTAACAGATGAATAGATTAAGGTCAAAGTTGTTAAATGCTAAATGGCCTGCCTAAGGCTTTATAGCTATGGCCAAGGCAACACCAGCATTCAGGTCTCAGAATTTCTACCTCCAGAACTATGATTTATTTCACTATGTTTTATTTCAGTCAGGACTCTTTGGGAACTTATAGAACATTGGACTGTACATGGTTTAAACAATAAATGGGAAGGATGGGCTCACAGAAACTGAAGGCTCTGAGCTGGTGCTGGGATTTGATTTGCTTCAGTGGCTCAATAATTTCATCAAAGGCATGACTTCTTTCATTCCCTTCCTTAGTATTGCATGCTTCCTGTTGAATACAAAACAATCTCCACAGTTCTAGCCTTTTTCCATCACAAATCATAGGGTCAAAAAGAGACAGAGGACAGTTTTCCAGCTTCAAATACCCTTATGTTGCTATCACCCCTGGGGCCCACTGTGAGCAGGTTTACATAGGCCAATTGCAAAGGGGAATGAGATTGTTATAACTGACTTACTAGAAAGCCAGGGCCTACTCTGGACCTGAAGCAGAGAAATACTCCTTTACCTTCCACAAGCTTCTACATGATGGAAAACAGAAGGAGGTAAGGTTGTAAGGTCTAAAGAAACCCTCTAACCTCCCAGCGTCAAGCCATATTAAGACAGTGGCTCCCTGCACACAATGAGACACAAACAAGCAGCACAAACACACCAAGTATCACTTAGTTAATGCAAAAGAGGGATTTTTGCCTCTTCTTGATGTAATAGTACTTGACATCTCATCCCTTTCTCTAAAAATCTGATTCAACTTATCAAAAGAACTGCCTTTGAAATTTTCATGTCTTGATTCAGGCCAAATTTATTCCTGACTACTGAAAATGTTAAATACATTAAATACCACATCAACTCTTCTTAGCTAATGGTTTAGCTAACTACACATTACCTCTGATATTTAATTGTTTATGGAATGAACAGCATTCGGTTGGTATATTAAATAAAACAATTTTTTCTCAACACTCTCTCTAATCAATTAATCTAGGTGAGTTTCGAGATGATCTCTAATTTTTTTTGTCTCTCTTAGATAATAAAGACGCCACCTCTTTGTTTCATCATTCAAAGTCTAGACTAACGTAATAATCTGAGAACTACAAGTCAGTCTAGTATAATCATCAAAATGTCAGAATTTGTATATATATATATATATATATATATATATATATATATATAATCTGTAGGTATATATATCAGAATTCTTATCCATTCTAATTTTTTTTCTTCCCCTCAGTTTGAACCTTCTCAGCTTTGCAAGCATGGTTATATTCTCTACAATTTCCTATCTCTACTTTCTGTTTATCAGAAATCCTACATCTACACCTCCAAATGGAATGGAATTTGTACCTTTTACTGCCTCCTTCACCTATCAAAATCCAGTCCTTTCTGTTGTGTGCTTGATCCCCTTTGTTCTCACTTTGCCATGACTTACTAAATATTAGTAAATTAGGAACAGATAAAAACCTTTTTAACGTAACAAAGGAAGTTCATTTTTCTCCGTTCCTGTCCTCTGATAATAGACTGAAAATGAATGTACAAGAGGTTAAAGGAAATCCCTGTGCCTGGCAAAGGTGGGCAGAAGAGCCTCAGAGCACAGTGCAGGTCTGTCTGGCACCTGAGAGAAGAAGAAAAGCAGGACTAGGCAGAAAGAGCCTCAAACTAGTTCTGAGAAATTCTGAGACAGGCTAATAGGGAGCCCCAGAGCAGGGACTATTAAAGGAATCCTGCTTTGTCAAGCAACTGCTTGACTCTAGCACCCCCTCCAAATTCAGTCACTGCATGGAATCAGCCTGGAAAAAGCATGGCCTCSATGTGAGAGATCAGGGTCCAAATGAGTGGCAGTCAAAGGTTCTTGATTCCAGTCCTTGCAACAGGTAGATTTGGGCAGTGTTAACGTAAGACCGCCACAATGGGTGCAGGAGAGTAAGCCTTGGTGAGGAAAAAAAGGAAACTGATAGGAATAATTCTAATAAAGGTAAAAATCACTACTTTGAAAGTGAAATGCTATAGAAAGAAATCAAAGGATGACAAAATTAACAGCAGGGAAAAACGCATTCATCCGTTTTAAATCTTAGTATTTAAAGATTTCAGTTCTTCCCCAAATTATCAGTATGTATAATCATATTCAAAATTCTAGTAGTTATTTTTGTCTTCAGATTTATTTATTCATTTATTTTTGGTAAGAAGTTCTCAATTAGATTCTAAAATATTTACAGGAAAACAAAGGGCTAAGTTACTAAACTAAATTTTTTTTTAATACAGAGGAAAAGCCTTCTATTTCATAATTAGATGTTAAAATACAAATGCAGGGATATATTCTTATTCTAATGTGAATGTATTTTAATTAAAGTTAAGTCAATTAATCAAATTATGTACGTGTGTGCATGTGTGCGTGTGTGTGTGCATGTGTGTGTGTGTGTGTGTGTGTGTGTGTGTGTGTGTGTGTATGCTATTTAGCCAATTATTTCTTTACTGATTAGGGAAGGGAGAGAGTCTTTCTCATGTCAGTGAGATTTGGGGTGGAAAGGTGAAATACAAACAAGTGAGGAAACAGAGCTGAAGAAGAGCTTGGCAGCAGGGCTCAGACGACAAAAGACCAAAATTGCAAATGCTGTTGAGGTCAACTTGACTTGGCTCCTTCGTGTCCTTTATATGACCAAGAACACAAAACAATTGTGTGCTTTGTTATTTCTGTTTCACAGATAAAAAGACAGGCAATATTTTAGCATGGAGGGCTTCAGATTTCTTACTATATTTTTGATAGAAATCTGGCTGTAACAAAAATCAATGTTTATTCATGAGAAATATATTAAATGATGTTTCACACATTCCCACTCCACTTTGTCTTTCCCTTCTCCCCTTGCTCCCCCTTGTCTTGTTTTCTCTTTCCTCTCCTCTTTCCCATTTCCCTCCTCTCTTTTCCTTTTTCTCTCTCTGACTTCACCAGTTTAGTCTTCAACAGAAATAAAGGAATTTGTAAAGGAATATAAAAATTATTACCTCTTACAAACCAAAGTGGTCTGACTTCATAAATTCAGTAGATTTTTTCAAAACATCCCAAATTTTTACATACCTGTTGTGCCTGCCCTTCTAGATAAAATAAGTTAATGTAGTTTAATAAGATTTTATGACTTATTTAATTTCTGAGACCTTTTTAACTGTTCAAATGTGAGACAAATAAAAATGTTTGTATTGCAAATGGCTTTTTATTTAGGAGGCCCCAAGGTTTTGGTAATAGGAAAAGCCGAGATATCTTTACTGTACCAGAAACGGTGCAATACATAGTTAACCTAGGATTTTATTCATCATAAGAAAGTGCTGCCCTGGCAGGGTTTCATGTAGCTGCTGAGTCTAGTTCTCTTTTT